CTGCCACGCAGTATACTCGTCCCTTAATTGATAGACGGATATCTCGTCTTCTCCATAGGTGACGTAAGTTGGCGAAAGCCAAACGAGCTTTTCGAATCCGTGCTGAGATTTCGTCAGACACCAACCCAGTAGGGCTGATCAGACTTCCAAGATAAGTGAAGTTGTCAACGCGTTCGATTACTTCACTCCCTATCCTTAGTTCAGGTGTTGACGCAGACCAGTCCTGAAGCAACAACTTGTGTTTAGAGGGAGAGAAGCGCTTCCCAAACATTCTGGCATTGTTGCTCAGTGCTATCAAAAGACTGCATTTTATCAGCGTCTTCACCAAACAGGACTATGTCATCTGCGTATTCTAAGTCGATAAGTGGACCTCCTAGTAGGAGATTGATGCCCGAAAATTCAGTCGATGAGATCGTTATTTCCATCAGTAGGTCTATGATGAAGTTAAACAAAAATGGTGAAAGTGGACAGCCTTGACGGACACCACTTGAGGTTGCGAAAGCAGATGACAGTTCGCCATAAGCTCTGACTCGACTAGTAGTGTTCGAGTAATGAGCCTTCACAAGGTTCATGTACTTCTGAGGTACGCTCTTCATTGACAGACACTGCCACAGAACCTCTCGGTCAACAGAGTCAAATGCTGCTTTTAAGTCAAGGAAGACCACCATTGTCGGACGCCGATAAGTATGCCTGTGTTCTAGAACCTGACGAATGGTGAACATGTGGTCGATGCAGCCACGACCAGGTCTGAAGCCAGCCTGATTTTCACGTGTTTGCAGCTCACGAGTCTTAGTTAGGCGTCCGAAAATTATCGAAGCTAGTATTTTAGATATTATATTAGTTATACTAATCCCTCTGTGGTTGTCACAGGATGATTTTGACCCTTTCTTAAATATTGGGACGATAAGTGATTGTGGCCAGTTAGATGGGATAACGTCTAACTCCCAGATTTTAGCTAAAATATTAGTCAACCTAATCGCTAAAACTAGACCACCATCCTTAAAGACCTCTGGGGCCAATCCGTCTGGACCAGCTGCCCTTCCTCGTTTCAGATTAGCTATAGTCTTTTGAACTTCAGCTAGAGTTGGGGGACCTACTTCAATGTTCCATTCACACTGTCTGGGAGTGGAGGGTAGTTGTAGAGTAGCTGAAGGCCAGCTGAACTGTTCTCTAAAATGTTCCGCCCATCGTTCTAAACGTCTGAACTGAGAGCAGATAAGAGTGCCGTTTTTTTCCGAAATAGTCTGACTTACACTTGGCTTATTAATTTCAGTTTCTTTTTTTAGTCTGTAGAGTTGTCTTGTATTCCCTATAGCCGCAGCCTTTTCCATCTATTTTGCTTTCGTTGCCCATAACTGCTCACGATCGTTCCTTAGACTTTCGGTTAACCTAGATCTGATTTGTTTACGCTCTTCATCGTGTTCAGAGCCTGATGGGATGAGTTTACAAGAATCTATCAGTGCAATAGACCTTGAAGAAATCCATTGGTTCTTTGTAACCCTTTGGTTTAAGTCACTAATAGATGTCAGTGCTGTTTCTACAGCTGTTCGTATATCTTTCCAAGCAATATCTGCGTCAGCCTCGTTTTCAGAACTACCTAAGTGTGACCTCAGTTGTTCTTGGAATCTACTTTTGCTTTTCTCATTACTCAATTCAGTTCTAATGGGTCTTTTTTGTGTGGCTTTTTTGCGTCCAGTGAGGCGCAAGCAGATGCGTGCTCGTATTATGGCATAGTCGGAGTCCAAACAGGTGCTCCAGAATGAGCGACAATCTTCTATCGACGCTCTCCAACGATGACTGATGGCAATATGGTCTATTTGAGTCCATCGTTGGTTTGGTGCAGGGGGTCGCCATGTTAGACGGTGTCTCTCCTTGTGCTTAAAATTTGTGTTTGCTAAAAAATAAACGGTTGTCTGAGCACAGTTGCAGCAGACGATCACCATTATCTGTTCGCTGTGCCGGAATACTAAAATACCTACTCAAATGTCTTGCTGTTTCGTTTAAGCTACCTACCTGGGCATTAAAGTCACCTCCTACGAGTACTATGTCTGAGCGTTTAGCTTTTTGAAGAAGTTCAGAGAGTTTTCTGTAAAATTCATCTTTCACTTCATCCGAGCTGCAGTCAGTGGGAGCGTAGGCAGAAACGACGAAAAGGCAACGACGTGTGTCCCTATCCTTCCGAGTTCTTACGGAGCCGTTTAGCCGAACAGCGCATAGACGACTGTTCACTGGGGTCCACTCTAATAGCGCTTGTTCCGCCCTCATGCTTAGTGCTATGCCTACACCTGCCAGTCCACGAGAACTAGCCATCGGGTCGCCAGATACACGCAGGGTGTATCTCGTCGGCTCTCCATTTTGCCGAGGTGAGGTCAAGTGAATGACCACATTAGGATCCTGTATGTATGTTTCGGAGACACAGCATACATCAATGGTACGAGATTCTAAGGTTTTAGCCAAGGAAGCCTGCTGACCGATTTGACATAGTGTGCGTACGTTGAAAGCTCCAATGTGTAGTTTGGAGCGAGGTTTCAGTAAACCTGGGACAGTGTTTTGCGCACTAGAATCGTTGACTATGGTGACACTTGAGAAGGAAACCAAAAGAGGAAGCTTAGATTTGAAAGTCGATGTAGGAGGAATAATAGGAATTGAAGAGGGAGGTTGATTATGAATACAGTGGTCTTGAGTGCTGTTAGAGGTATGAGGGCGGTTATCACTTCCCGGTTGCCCACACCATGGAAGGGTTCTTCTGGAGGTACCTGAAAATGAAATTGGATTAAAGGTGGTCATAGTGACCTGAGAGCGTGACCACAGTGCCCAAGGGACAACTGCTTGAGGTCGGTCACACACGACATTTTTATGAGTAATTTTTGTGTTAGCTCCGTACTTGTTGAGACCTTACCGCCGGAGACGAATATCCGTGGGATAAGGCGAGGTGTGCATTTTTAGGGTCGACCTTTTCTAACCCCACCCCTCTTTGTGGGATGGCAGCGTCGCTGTTATGTTGATTGTCTGAAGGAAACACCTTACTGCTGTTGTGGTGTGTGCTACTTATGTAGACATAAGTAGTATATAACGTGAGTCATGAACAGAATGTCTGGCAGCAGAGAGACGAGAAGATCGAACAATAAAGAATGAAGAAAGAATGCAATTTGTATGAAAATGCAAGAACAAAAGGATTCCGAGTCATTTGAGACAATTGATGAACAATTTGCAAATTAACGATTTAATATATGGTTGTTGGATTTTACTAACTAGTTCTGTAATTTGTTGTTAAACACATTCGATTGTCCCCATTGATCTTCTGTTCACCACACTGTCACACCTCTGTACAGTCAGCAGTACAACTTCGCCTTCGGACCTTGGATTTGTTGCTTTTAGTCTTACCGCTCTTCAACCGACCTGTCTGGCATAGTAGGACCTTGAAGAACGGTTGTTCCAGCCAGTATAGCTCAGTTTCTTCATCACGATAGGCAAGCCCGACCACCACGTCAAGGTAGCAACAACGGTCGGGAAAACGTAGACATGCTATTCTGGTTAGCGTAGACGTGATGAAGAATAAGATCCATCAGGAGATAAAGTCGATGGCTATTTAACTGTGAGGGGGGGCGAATATATTCCACTTGATACCCTTAACATAGCGTTGAGCGATTGATAAAGGCAAGAGGTTCAAAGCCATTCACAATAGTAGGTCATATACACTCATTCCCTGTATCCTAAAAATTATTAGTACAATATTTTCGACAATCTCGTAGGATCTATTTTTAGGAACATCTCACTTTCTTTTTAACCATTCTCTGATACTAGAGATTATCCTCATGTTGATTTCCTCGCTTTATTAACAGTAAGTAACAAATCGAACCGATGCACATTTTTAATGTATGTTCTGCTTTGTTTTTCCCCGTTTGTTGACTATTTTTTCCTTTCAACTACCAAAGGCTGGTTTTAGTATCTATGTGCTTACTGCTTGTATAACTACGTTAGTCAATAAACGTATTCACATTTGATATGCTGTTTGTTTTGTACTGGAAAACATGTCTCCATATTAATTTTCTCTTATAAAAAATAACTGGGTGTATTTTTTCCAAGATTTATGTCTGTCATCCCAATAATTTTGTCAAACTATAAATATGTGCGATTCTGTAAAGTGTTTTTAACCTTTCGTTTTGTTTAATGAGATTATTGTGTATGTATAAAGCTTCTAGGAATAATCAGAGATTTTTTTGAAGAGGAAATGTCTTCAATAACTCGTCATTGTATTGAATTGATTTCATATAAAGGCTACTATACATCCATGAAATTCCCCCAATGTCCAATGACATTCTAAGGTAGTCCAGAACGAGCAATAATGATCAATGGTGAAAGCAAATAGAACATCTACAGCTAAAGAACCTGAGTAATTAATTAAACGCAAGTCATTTATTGAAATAAAGCGGCATAGGTAAACTCCAAACAAAAATGAGAAACAACATTAAAAATGGCCAAAGACATGTAAGCATAGTAAGTAAGGTTGGATAGATGATATTATACACAGGGAACTTTGGAAGTAAAATGAAGAATTAAACATAAACTAAGCTAAAATCATGATAAATTCTGACATGTGTTATGTTCATTCACTTTCTTATAGACATAGTGCTTCCTGTTGCTCATGACACTGAGATAAACTTAAACACTTCACGGAATTTTTTAGTTCTACCGCTTGATAGCTTACGTCCAGTAGGTCAAGCTGCTTGTCATTAATTACCTATAGAATACCTAATTTTTCCAGTTGACTGTAGCATCTTGCACTAAGCAATGCTATCTAAACTGTATAACCCTTAAAACCACTTAGTTTTGTATCAGTTCAATCTGTGTCACTCACTAGATGTCTTAATTAATCAGTCGGCCTGTAAAGTATAAGTTGTAATCTCATAATCTCAGACCTATAACAATAAGCTACATTCCCTTACTGTTTTATATCTTTAACTTATTTAGTTTTTTCAACGATTTTATTCAAATTTTAGTTGTTTGATGTGTAGAACTGCTGTTGAACTCCAAGCACAAGCAGGTGGTTGGGCTGGAGTAGATGCTGGCAGTCGTTTACAACTGATCAATCGAATACAAGCCTTTATACCAGCACAGACAATGTTACCACCTGGGAGACTAGAAGAGTTGATCAATGAATCTGTTCGTGCACAGTTGGCTTCATGCATATTTCATAATCCTCCGATGGGTGTCCAAACTGATATACATAATATATCATTACTACAGCGCCATTCGTGTGGCATGTAATTATTTATACAAACCGTTTGTTTTGTTGCATAACATTACCACCCGACCCTTAGCTATGAATGGTATCAGAAACACACGGTGATTGACTTTTTGAACAAAGTCTAGTGGTTTAAAACCCCTGACTGATCCAGTAAAGTGACACGAAACGGGTTAATTCACGGCTTTTGTTCCCAGACACTAGTGTAGCTCACCGTTATATTTCCTTTGATTGTCTACTTTATTCACTAATTTAATGACTTCACAATAAGAAAGCCATATTTCTATTAAACATCGTAATTCAGTAGTGCTTTTGGTACGTTTTCAGTATCATTTTTACTCCAAGTTTTTAAAACGCTTCATTTCTTCCATCATATCTATCCACAAATCAGTAATCATGTACACAGTTGTAAAACAAAATAGCAACTGAATTTATTACATAAAGTTTAATGACACTACCTGACTATTCAAAGTGGAATCCGTCACATATTAGGTAAAATTTGACGCCCCTAATTAGTGTGCAAAATCTGTATTATTTCTTCATAACATATAAAAACATTTATTAACTTAAACCATTGCCATAAAATGAGCTCACATTTAATAGCTTAATCAAGAGGAAGCATTTCTATCTATAATTTAATCCATACTATCTTGTTCTCAGTTGTGCACCCGCTTAGTAACCAAACCTCAAATAGAATATTCATACTCCTCCCCACCTACTGTGGTTTGGTTAGCCGGATGATTTCACTTGCCTTTGTCTAGTAGTAGCCTATTGGTAAAAACACTACTACCAATCACTTGATCGTATGTCCAGACTCTGTTGCACCTACTTGATCTTTGTCAGCCAGCTCTTACAGTTTATATGCTACTGAAGGCCAAGTACATAAAGCTATACCTTGTTAATGAATATTAATCTACTAAAACCTCACTTGCTCTAACAGAAGACCCTGCCAACAAATTACAGAGTCCTATAACTATCTTAAGCAACATACAAGCGTGATTGGGATGAGATTCTCTCCTTCAAATTCGAAATTGCACTTCAGTGTTGGCATCATCAGAGCCCAGACTATTGATAGTGAGTGAAGTAGTCGAGTGCATCAACCGTTTCACCTATTTTGGAAGTCTCACCAGTCATGATGGGCTGGTGGCCAACGAAATTTCAACACGAACTTAGTAAACTAAATTGATCATTGACAGCTTGCACCACTCGTGGAGTAGGCGAGATATCCGTATGTCAAATAAAAGATGAGTTTGCTACTCAGCAGTTCGCCCCGTTCAGCTTTACATATGTGAAACATGGTCATCAAGAATAGAGGGCATTCGTGGGTACTAGTATTCGATCATGGGTATCTTGGAAGCATCGCTCGTCTATTTCGGGATTGCTATCTTGGGATTCGTCTTAAAATAATTTTATCTTGCTGTGCTAATGAGGTATGAGAACTTGAACAGATGCACGTGTCGGGTTTTGATGTTACCTATGACTGGTTGGCAATGACATATTTGGTAGGCCTTGAAGAGGAACGAAGTAGATAATAGAAACATCCAATTGACGCATATCCTGGATTCTAACGCTGACAAACTATCAAATATGCTACTAGTGATAGGTTGTTACAGTTTGACAGTAAGACTTCTGGACATCTTTCGGTAGTAACTTTATAGTTAGTTGGTTACCTTAATAAAGTTTTCCAATGTTGCCTTTTATTCGAGTTACAGTCAAAATCATTATGTCATGAGCCCTAACAGCTCATTGTAATATAACCCTATTTTTCACTCTTAATCTCAATTTAGGCAAGATTTCCCAGCATTTTGTATCCAAACTTTGGACCATCAAAGAGATTCTGATCTGTGGTTTTGTCAGTTTTCTCCAGACGGTAGCTATTTAGCAACTGGTGGTAAAGAGGCAAATGTTGACGTTTGGCGTGTAGACTCTGTACGACATGCTGTCTCATTTTTCCGAGTGTTAACTACACCTGCATATATCGGCTGTCTGTGTTGGTCACCTGATTCTAAAAAGTATGTCATTATAATACTTTTATTTCTTTAGTATACCACCATCTCATTGTATTTGTTTAATCAGGTTGATATTTGGCTATAATATAAACTGTGCACCGAGATTTAATGCGTCTTGGTCAAAGTTAGTATGATACTTTAAAAATATTTCTTCATCATCTGTAAAAGTATTCTTCCCAATAAATACATGAACCAAGCCACTTAAGTTGCTAATTCCGAAAAGTCATCATGTTGACTAAAACTTTCAAATTGCACAATCTCTTGTGCCTTTCGATCGCACATTTGCCGTCCAGATGATCACAGATAAAGTGAATTTGGGAAAATCGTCCCTGCATACAGTTCTAACAAAGTATTTGGCATTGGAAAAATTGTGTTCTAAAATCATTTGAAAGTTATTGATATTTAACCATACGTGTTGCAAAAAATGAGTTTGGATTCTACGAGTACAAGATCAAATGTGAAACCACTAAGCATACAATGGATGGTAAGACGTAGAATAATATGTCAACTGATGTGCCTGACATCTAATGACTTTCATGGATGTCTGAAGCAATAAAAACTGAAAAGCAATCGTATTGCTGCAAACAGTATTTTGGAGAAGAAGAAACTTATATATCATACATTATGTTGGAATCGTTTTTATAACTTCAGTTCCCATATATTTGTAAACAGATTACGTGTCACATGTTAATGCAAAGTTATTTGACTATGTACTAGCCGGTTAGGAAACGTGTCATCTAGTTGTGTCAAATTCCATGAAATAGTATAATTCTACAATGCGAAATAATGTTGATCAAAAGTTATGGCAGCAGTATAGACTCATTGAAATCTTGTAAATCGTGTCACTTAAATTCTACGTGATTTTAATCGTTCTTTCTGTTTGTTCGTCCTTTTAAAACGATATAGACGTTTTCTAAGTCTGTTGTCCGCTCATAGTAGGTCATGAATATTTCATAAATCAACGACTGTCCTGTACTCAAACTTTATTTGAATAGCTCATTTTCTTTTTATTAGATTGGCAGCCTGTTGTGGAGAAGAACAAAGTTCCGTCCTAGTATTCGATGTATTCAGTGGTCAACAATTATGCAGCCAGAAGGTAAACGATGAAGATGTCTATTCAACTGCCTCATTTTTCTCTGATAGTCGTAAACTAGCTTTTGGTGGTTTGAAAGGGAGCTTCTATGTAATGGTACGTTTGCAAGACTGGTTAACTTCACGAATATTTTGTTGAATAAATTTCAAAATCTTCTGTTCGTTATGTTACGCATCTTTTCCCGCTACTCATTCAAAATCTGATAGGGCATTGTATTATAAGTATTTACTATAACTCATTTATCAAGTAAACGTTTGTTTACTTAGCTTTGAGGCACAGTGTTTGTATATAAACACTAGTGGTACTATCCTGTCCGGTCGAACCGAAATAAGTGGGAGGTTCGCACCCGCGACTTACCGATTTAAAGGCAAATACTTGTTTTTATTATTTGTCTGCTGATATATGAGATAGATGTGGTATTTTTGATGCGTGATCTCTGCTAACTTAGATCTTTAGCCTACTATTTATTTTTGTTCTAACAACCAGCCTCCAGCTGTTTTAACGCCCATCATTAGTACTAAGCAACTGTACTATTGTGTCATGTTTCGTGTTTGTTTTTAAACTTCATATTGGTCTGTTGTTTTTTCGTGTACTTATTGTTACTAGGATACGGAAGATCAGGGTCGTGTACTCGCCGTGGTTGAAGGTTATCGTGTACAAAGTATGGCGGCTATATTCCCACCGATACCAAGTATGCTTTTGCCTAATGGCACAGAATCTGTCCAAGTCAACCCCCCACCAGATAGATCTACTCCAGGTGCACCAGATTCGCCAGCAAATGGATTACTTCAAAATGGTTCCACAAACGATGCAGTGAATAATCGTTCAGAAAATCAAATCGACCAATTGTTAGTTGCAGACAGCCTACATAGAATTCGATTATTTAGATTTGGTTTAGTTTGTTCAAATACGTCGTCTAATAATACAAACACTACAGCGGATACTGCTGACATACCACTAAGTACAGTCACCACACCACATGAAACTAGTACCACATCTATATCGACTGTAACCATTTCCACTCTGTCTGCTTCATCTTATGCTCATACACCTGGTGAAGAGATCACAACCAGTACAACTATCGCAACAACATCAACTACTACTAGCAGTAGTACTATCAGTACTACTACTGCATCAGCATTGGCTGCCTATTTATGTTCAAGTGGGAGTGCACCAGGTGCTCCAACTTCAGTTAATATTTCTACATCAGCTAGCACTGGTACAACTAATCCGGGTAATGTTAGAAGTAGTGATAGTAGTGATAATAACAATAATAGTGTAGTTGCCACAAGTACTACAGGAGAAAATCCTGGTGTAGCGACAGCATTAGCTGTTGCACGATTAGCACAACAACAACAACAACGTTTATTACAATCGTCAAATCCTATGACAACAACAAATCCAGCATCAACATTAACTGGTAATTTATCTTCATGGTATCAACAATCTGGTGCATATCAAGGATCAACAAGTCTAGCGTATACATCAAGCTCTTCTACATTACCACGTAAGTATTACAGATAGTACCCAATTAAATAATAGTCAATATAGTGGAGAATATCTATAGCTCAGGATGAGAGTTTAGGTATTGTATTTTCTGAACCGCATAATTTAATCGTGAGATTTTCATTGTTTTCCTAGACACCAGATTCATCACCATAATTTTGAAAAATCATAGTGGATTATAAAAACCTGTATTTATTTATTTAAACACAAACATTGGTACAGAAGAGCACCAAAATATATATGTGCCACACAAAATAGTTATCATTCGGTTTATTACTACCTCTACTATTCTCGAACTTCACTTGACAATATCGTCTACGTACTAACAGGCTATGAAAACTGGAACCGATGTACATGCGGTACCAAGTTCTAGCTTGTAACTGACTGACTGAGTTGGTATAACATCCGGGTGTCTAAACCAAAACAGGTAGTTTTCTTAGGGATCTACTCCTCGAACGTTTGACCTGGAGATCTAAACCACAAGGCAGTGGAGAAACGTTAGCAAATGGTGTCCCATGGTAGTCAGTAGCCAAGAATATGTTCAAACGCCATTTTCTCTTCAGGATTCCGGAACCCATATGGAGCATTGGTTTGGATCCAATGTTTTCCAGCTCTCCTGGATTGGATCCTTCGTAACAACTAACCCAGTTTAATCGGCGGACATTCTCTTTTTGTTGTCTCAATTTCGTAAACAACGGTAATGTCGCGAGAAGGCAACAAGTAGTATCTCCTTGGCAGGGGCTATACATTCTTGGCCATGTGAGGACATTTCGAGACAGGGAACAGACTCTCCTCAGTTTCGGTTTTACCACGGAATTCTGATGCACTTGACAGTTAACAAACCATGATACAACTATACGTCATGTTATTTGGAATATTAAAGTTTTCCAGATCCTTTCCTGCCTTACTGTTAAATCAATTATTATGTGTTGAATTGATGTACATAAACTTTAATCAGTTTATGTCTATCTGATTTATTATTTTTGACGCGTTTTTTACTTAACGCTTGAGTATAATTTGTAAACGACCTCTCCTCGCTATTATTCTCAAGTTGAAAAATGTTGTCCATTTATTATATCTGGTATCTATCGTTAGAATGTCAAATACAGCAAGATAATAATGAGCGGTTTTACAACTGTAGTCGGATTTATGATGAATCAGCTCATTATAACTGATTAATTTCATCAGGTTTGTGTGGGCTTTTATGATGATAGTAATAGTAATGTCCTGTACTCTGTATCAGTAGCAACGATGTTTACATATATATATATATATATATATATATATATATATATATATCCTTTAAAATTGTCAGCATATGCTCAAGCTCCTTTTTATTCCTCTTGTTGAAATGTGATTAATTATTCTGAATGTTTAGTTTAGAAGTATTGAGATGCATTTATAAACCGTCACTATCGAGTTTACTCAAGGCAGTGTATTGCATCATCAAACCGTACTTCACATGTAGATCCAACATATCCATCTGTTTTCGGAGATCTGGACCATAACAATCATGAGAAATTTTCAGTCAAAATGTAGTAAAATCTTCTAATTTGATGACTCATTTCTAGCTATGCAACAAGCTCATGGAACTCAAAATACTTTCTAACTGAACTTTTGATATGGCTCCAATGACAATCTACCCGGCCCCAAACTTTTCAGAAGACAAAAGAAAACCAAATGTTTATTTCAGCTTTATTTGACGATGGTACAACGTAAAGCGTGAATGTTTTTGAAGTTTTAGTGTCCGTAGAAATCAATCAGGATACAGTTGTCAAAGCGCCTGATTCATCGGTACCACCCCCGTTTAAAATTTTCAATCAGAGACCACTAAATTGTTTTTCAACTGATTGTGGTCAGATTTTCTGAAAAATGATGAATTTTTGATACTGTAGTTCTATCAGCTATCATTTTAGTACACTATGTTTTGTTATTTCCAGTTAAACAAACATTTATTCTCCGTAAATGCTGAGTTATCTAAGTTTCGTAACTATTGATTATTACTATTTCAGCGGGTATTTTATTAGATATGCCTATATTACCTGTCAGTTTAACTCGTCTTGGACCACCCACAACTCAGGGTTTGCAAGCTCAATTAGGTATTCAGCCTATATTGCATCCAACGGGTTCGTTGCATGGTTCATCTGGTGCAAATAATCTAGGCACTACTGGTAGTAGTTTAACTATTTTATTCGGTGCTCCTTTGGATAGAACTTCAGCTTCTTATGCAACTACTCCAGTTGGTACTTCTGGTTCAGTAACGACCACTCCGACAGGTGTACGAGCTTTAGCTGCTGCAGCTGCCGCGTTAGCCAGTGTAAACAGTCGTCAAGTTCATTCTGTCTCTAGTGGTACAACAATGCTAACAGTGTCTGCATCACCTGATAATAGTGGAGTAGCTACAGGTCGTTCATCTGTTTCCGTAACAAATATTGGCTCCACCGTGAGTACATCTACTTCTACTATTGGTACTACTACTGGCTCTCCATCTAATCCGACTACAGTTTCAGCATCTCTACCAGCGACTGGATTTTCTACATCAACAACCAGTACAACTACAAATGCTCATGCTAGTAGTGTGTCTACAAATGGCAGTAATTATGGCTTAATAGATCATAGAACTCTTTTTAAAGAAACGCATCCTGTTCAATCAATTATGATTTCACGCTCAGGAACTATGGCACTTCTTACTATACATAAGATGGTAAGTTCAATCAGTCAATAATTTATATTTTCTTGTTTATAAAAAGAAATAAAATTAACTTAACTTTTATTTTAATTATAAACTAGTTTAGTAGAAACTGTGGGGGAAAAATAAAGTGATACAAACGAATTTTATATTTCCAATTAACATGTGAATAATATGTGATTACACTAATATAGAGTACACAACTTATTTTTTTGGATTTTTTGTCTAAATTTTTTTAAATGATCAATATTTATACTGCAACCTCATCTTTCTCAATAAGAATATATGATTATAATAAATTGTTAAGAGTAATCAATCAGATATATCTGAGAGAAAGAAGAATTAGCTATTGAGTTATGCAATTTTTGTATCCATTCACAAAAGAAAACGTTGTTTTGTAGCGTGACAGTTTCATTTTATCTATTTCATTGGGTTAAAGTGTTCAAGTTTCACTTAACAAGTTCCAAATTTGAACCCTACTTCACCTACAATGATATAATCTCTCTTGTCATAATCAGTTGCATAAATAGTCACTTCAGTCAGTTATTTATAACTTAGGGCATAGGACAAGTAACATGTGCTAGTCCAAGTCATCCACACACATGCGTCACATCACAGTATATCAAAAACAAAATGACCAGATTGAAAGTTAAATTTATATCAGCCTAGTTGATAATTCATGAAATTTTATCATCCACCATTCATTAGATGCAACCTTATCTCTTGATAAAATGTAAGTCTGTTTTTCAGAATTGAATATTGAACACTATTTGAAAATGTCCGCCAGCTAACTAACCAGGGAATATCACGATAATGATTCTAGTTATTATTTACTTTACACTCTTTATTATTATTATTATTATTATTATTATTATTATTATTATTATTATTATTATTATCATAAAGTGGTCCCGCATGATGACGTTATTCATAAACAAATTATTTTTCGATCATTCTACTCTCTTTTATTGATTATTGGTGTATAACTAGATTTTCCTTTAGTATGTCCACCATATTTTCATGAATTATATTTTCTCGGTTAATTACATTACTCCAGCAGACATTTGGCCAAGAAAATATAATTCGTGAAAACTTGGGCCACATATCGATTGTTAGCTAGGATGTGGTAATAACTACTTATTCAACAAACTGTGGAATGATCATAGACCAGATAGGTGTTCTAAAAGGAGCAACAATCTTGTACGTATTCATGCCAGCCGTAGCTGGTTGCAATACGACCAGTCCAAATCCGGGATTGTGTTGCGAAAGGGAGACTCTCAATAGCACATTGGCGTTGACTGTGGTCGAACTCAGCGCTGGGAAGAATCAGTTTATCTTCTATTAGATCTCAAGTTTATAAATTCCTCATAATATTTTGCTTTCACTAATTTATATTTTCTGCTCGAATTGTATCTTTAATGCCGAATCTCTTTTATTACCGCTAATCCTCTTACTACTTCTACTACTCTGAGATCTCCCTTAACAATTTCATCTCTCTGTGCCAATGAGGTGTGGCAACTTAAACTGATGTACACATGTACCAGATTCTACGTCGCGTTTGACTGACAAAGCTGTAGGTTGAAGTCACCGTTTTCTGGTCTGTGACCATCAAGTCCTAATTAGCTATCCAACCGTTTCTCGTCTATGTCTAGACACCTGAATTTATCATTCAAATCTCTCCAGCTAACACCATAATATTTGTCGAATGCGTTTTCGTGAGTCATTGGTTCGATAATTTGTAAGACGCATCTTTTTTTTCATCGGTGTGTAAGCGGAGACTGAAAAGGTTTTTGCAAGGACAGCTAAACCTATCAGCTCTTCGATATTCATCAAAGTACAAACATCGAGTGAAGTAGGTTTAAATGACATGCGTGGAATTAGGAAAACTATCAGATCTCGTAATCAATGACAACATTCATGTAACCGATAATCCAGCAATTTAAGACCGTTTAGATGGGTTAGAACTTGGAATAGAGATAAGCTGTAAATAAAATGAAAATAAAAAAGAGTAGAAATTTAAAGCAATAATATCGTTTTAGGGAGTAGAGAGGCGGAGCGATAGAACATTTTCTTCATAATGATTCCTCACATTTTTTGTAGGCGTTGATACTACCCGACTCCAAGACCGAACCAGATGATTTGTTAAGGGATCGACTACTCATTGAGCCTTTGACTAGAGGTCAAATCCTCAAGACAATGGAGTAACGTTGGATCTAGTTTCATGACAGTCAGCGACTACATCGAATGTGTTCGGAAGCTTGTTCACTGAAACTTCTGTGCATCAGTCATGAATTTTATTATCCATCGTAAGGTAGCAAAAGATATGAAAGTTACGATTTTAATAGTTAGGTTATTCAAAGTTGGTGATACTGAATTTAGTAGATGGGTTTGGGGTGCAGCAGGATAGTAAAACACAAGCGTTTACATCCTAAATGCTCCATCATTATCAACTTAATTAGGCTTCGTGAATATAGACCACCTTCCAGGATTCTTCAACCATATTTATCCTGGACTTTCCGATTGTTGCCAAGTGCTATTCATACATATGGTTTCTACCCCCGATTCCCGTCGCAATGTGCTTTTTGATCTTCCTCTTTTCCTTTTATCATGAGGACTCCAAATTAGGGTTTACTATATGATATAATTCGATGATTTGAAAGTTTCTTCAATGTTTGTCCTGTTCACCTGCAGCGTCTTTCCGCAAATTCCTCTTCAGTTAGATACTGGTTTGTTTTCTACCAGTCGACCGTAGCTGCTACCTTGACGTGGTGGTCGGGCTTGCCTATCGTTATGAAGCAACTGAGCTATACGGGTAGGAACAACCGTTCCTCAAGGTACTACCATGCCAGACAGGTCGATTGGAGAACGGTAAGACTAAAGGCAGCAACTCAAGGTCTGAGGGCGAAGTCGTACTGCTGACTGTACAGAGGTGTGACAGCAGTAAGGGGTTTCCTTCAGACAACCAGCATAACAGCGACGCTGCCTTTACACAAGGAAGGAAGGGGTTAAAAAAGGTTGACCCCAAAAATGTCACACCTCACCTTACCTCACGGATTTCCGTCTCCGGTGGTAAGGCCCTTTGAAGGACGGAGCTAACACATTAAAAACATCCCACAAAAAGGCCGTGCGCGACCGGCCTCAAGCAGTTGTCCCTTGGGCTCTGAGGTCACGCTCCCAGGTCTTCAAGACCAACACTAATCCGATTTCCTTTTCAGGTTCCTCAAGAAATACCCTTCCACGGTATGTGCAGCCGGGAAGTGACATCAGCCCTCATACCCGTAACAGCACACGAGACCACGTTGGTCACATTCAAATCCTTCCTACACCTCCTAATAACTCTTTATCTCCACGACTAACCCTTCTCCCGTCCCTCTATAACCTCGCCCCGCTAGTGCAAACGATTCGAGTACGCGGAACGTTATTCCTGGTCTCCTGAAACCATGCTCTAAACTACACGTAGGAGCTTTCAACGTCCGAACACTGTGCCAAATAGGACAACAGGCTTCCTTAGCTAGGAATTTAGAATCTCGCTCCATCGATGTGTGCTGCGTCTCCGAAACGCGCATACAGGATCCGAGTAGTGTCATTCATTTGACCTCACTATGTCAAAGTAACGAACCAACTCGATTTACGCTTCATGTATCTGGAAGCCCTGATGCTGCTTCCCGTGGCCTCACTGGCGTAGGTATAGCATTGAGTCCTAGGGCAGAACTAGCTCTCTTAGACTGGATCCCAGTAGACAGTCGTCTGTGTGCTGTCCGACTAAACGGAACAGTAAGGACTCGGAAAGATAGAGACACTCGTCGTTGCCTCTTCGTCGTCTCTGCCTACTCTCCCACTGACTGTAGCTCAGATAATGTAAAAGATGAGTTCTACAGAATGCTTTCCGACCTTCTCCGAAAAGCTAGGCGTTCAGATGTAGTAATAGTGGCTGGTGACTTTAATGATCAAGTAGGTAAACTAAGCGAAAGGGAAAGACGCCTGGGTGGATCTTATGGTGTCGCGGCTCAACGAACAGATAGCGGCGAACGTCTGTTGCAGCTATGCCCAGATAACCTCCTGTTTTTAGCAAACACTAACTTTAAGCATAAGGAAAAACATCTTTTGACATGGCGACCCTCTAATTCATCCCAACGTTGGACCCAAATAGATCACATCTCTATCAGCCACCGATGGAGGGGCTCGATAGAAGACTGTCGCTCATTCTGGAGCACATGCTTAGACTCAGATCATGCTCTGGTGCGAGCGCGTATTTGTCTACGTCTTACTGGACGTAGGAAAGATGGAACGAGGAAACCCCTTAGGGTCCTACTTAATGATAGTCAAGCTAAGAGTATATTTCAGGAACAACTAGAAAAACAGTTAGGCAGCCATGTAAGTGATGCCCACCCCGAGGCAGCGTGGAATGACATCCGAAAAGCCGTAGAAACAGCAGTGATGTCCGCAAGTACGCTGAACCATAAGGTTAGCGAGAAACACTGGATCTCAGCAGCATCTATCGCACTGATAGATGCTCGAAGACTCATTCCATCTGGCTCTGAACATAACGAAGAGCGGAGTCAGCTTAAGCGTAAGCTGACTAGAAGCCTATGCAATGGTCGTGAACAGTGATGGGTAGCGAAAGCAAGAGAGATGGAAAAGGCAGCGGCAACAGGTAAAAGCAGGCAACTGTTCAGACTTGTTAAGGAAACCGGTATTAGGAACCCAACTGTTAGCGCAACAATCTCAGAGAAAGATGGACATATTATTCATTCTCAATCCAGGAGATTGGATCAATGGGCAGAACACTTTAGGGATCAGTTCAACTGGCCTTCAGTCACACTTCGGTTTCCCACGATCTCCAATCTACCTGAGTGACAAGTTAATGTAAGTCCTCCAACTCCTTACAAAGTTGAAAAAGCCATAGGAAATCTGAAGCGTGGGAGAGCAGCAGGCCCTGACAGGTTTACCGCTGAGATTTTTAAGGATGGCGGTCCAGTATTAGCAGCGAGATTGACTGAGGTCTTAAGTAGAATCTGGGAACTGGACGTAATCCCATCTGACTGGTCTCGACTAGCTTTTGCCCACTTGCGTCATTTGTGGCGTAGGCGAGATATCCGTCTATGAACCATAGGACGGGTTTACTGCTCAGCAGTTCGTTCCGTCCTACTTTATGGCAGTGAAGCATGGTCGGCAAGAGTAGAGGATATTCGTAGGTTACTAGTATTTGATCATAGATGTCTTCGAAACATTGCTCGTATACCCTGGGACCACCGAGTACGTAACTCAGTTGTTAGGAAACGGGTACTAGGTAAGGATGGCAAATCAATTGAGGAAGTAGTGAAACTTAATCAATTGAGATGTCTGGGGCATGTGTTGCGCATGCCCGACCACCGACTGCCCCGACGTGCTATGTTTTCTGGTGTAGGAGTAGGTTGGAAGAAAGCTAGGGGCGGCCAGATCAAAACATGGCACAAATCCATGAAGTCACTGACAAGTGGACAGAGCCATGTTGGTAGGTGTAGACTACCTGGTTGGGGACCGCGAGATGATAGCAACAGATGGTTAGAGACCTTAAGTGACATGGCTCAAAATCGTTTGCAATGGCGCAGGTGCATCCACTCTCTGTGTTCTCTCAAACTCTAATCTTCTGAGTTCTTCATGTCCTTTATTTTCTTTTTAAATTTATTCCACTGTATCATACTCCTTAAATAACATCATCAAACCCTAATGTTCCCTATCACTACTTATACCTTCACTACCTCTACCACTACGGGATTTGAATCGATAAATGAATCTCTGTGCTAATGTGGTATGGCAACTCGAACTGATGTACGTACGTACGACTTTCCACGTTGTTACTGACTGATTGTCGCTGATGATATCTGATCAACCGATACGAAGCTAAGTATCAAGTTCTCTATTTGTTTTTTTTTCTTTCACTTTTCAGTCTAAACTCTTCTCAAGTGGAATAAACTTATTTTAAGTTTTCCATCCAACAATGACCGTAAATTATTAACTTTTATAATTAAGCATATACATGCTCACATTATACTTTCATTCAGATGTTTCATTGTTTTTCTTTTGTTGTATTCTAGAAAATCACTCTCATTGTAAGCGATTAACATGTGAATGTATACATTTAAAATAATATTATATATAAGATCTTAAGTGTGTGAATATGTTTTAAACATTTAATATTGAAAATGAAAATCTGCAATATACGGGATTTGACCTTGTTTTTATGATGATGATCTGGTACATTAGACTTGCATTGCATCAGTTCAACTTATTCAACTAACGTACAACTATTTAATAAAAGTATTTTTTGGATAATTTTCGGCCAACCACATTAATGCACAATTTATTTATCTGATAGGAGTACTTCTACAGATTTTAAAATTTTAGATATTGAATATAACCGCTAAAGTACTTTTATTCTTTTGTAAAAGTTGCATATACTTGAACTGATTAGTAATTAAAGGTTACTAAATTGTAATTTATCAGTTGACATTTTTCATGAGTAAATGGATCTGTTTGTCTGTTTTTTTTTACTTCATACACTTGATATCACTACTCATTGAGAAATGTAACAAAATAATAATAATGATTAAAAATTATTGAGTACACTTAGTCAGTCGTTGATTTTAACAAACTTATTTGTTTGAACATGAGAGGTGGGAAGGTAAAAGAAGTTGAGATTTATTTGTGTTTTATAGTGAAACCCATTTACTAGGTATAAATTTGTGGGGTTGCCTGTGATGTACATTTTAATTATGACGTCTATTGATATTACCTAGTTATTTAAATGTGTTAAAATATAGAGTAATGTTTAGAGGGATCTATTCCCTCTGACAATGTCGCTTAGTTTAAACCTCTCTTTTCATTTGATTTGGTCTAGAGAGCCGGGCACCATCACCAACCCTCAACCAAAAGATGTGTTCTTAAGCTACATGTTTTTATATTTAAATATATACATATTCTCATGAACTTGTGTGTTGGTCTCAAGTTCTGAAATTAAATTGGTCATAAATTGTTATTGTCATTTTTTTATATAAAAATAATCATCGATCCAAAGTTTGTTTTTCGTTCTGTAGCTTGGTCATAAATGCAAAGTTAACCTAGTTTTCATGTTCAGGCCTATGTAACATGTCTCAACCATATAAGTTAATAAAGATTCATAATCTACTAATGGTTTTGATCAACAGTTAAATCCTATTTTAAAACTTGTACATTCTTAACTTAATTTGTAGATGATTTTCGTCAGAGATTAACATCAGTTTAGATATTATTGAGAACTAGGAAATATTTGACAGTTATTTTGTCATAATATGGAACTCTATTGATTTTATTCATAATAACTAATTAATATTTATGAATTTTCTCATATTCTTGAAGTCTTATCAATAAGATTTCTGTTAGAAAAATGTAACTTCAAAACTACTTTTGTAATTACATTTTTGTAATGTCTTCTAAATTAATTAATGCTAGTTTGCTTCATATAGTGTTTTATTCGATTCATCTGAGCTATTCACATCTGACGTATATATATATATCACCTGTTTGCTTGGTTCAAATCTTTTCAAAATGTTTTTTTCCTTTTAATCAATAATCATGAATATCTCTCTCTGTAAAACAAAAACTATAGAAACAGTAATGAGAAAGCTGATTTAATTTACAAAAGATAATATGTACTATTTCACTCATTTTATATTGTATTTTCTGTTAAATGTTTTACATCACAAATAAAACACTATTTATTTTGTTCTAATTATTTACTTTTTTTAAAATTGGACATAAATAGGGATTACATTTATGGGATTTAGAAGCTTGTGCTATTCTACAACGATTTGTTGGGCATAAACAAGATACTTTTCGATTGTATTCTACATTCGGTGGAGCTAATGAAGATTTCGTAGCTACAGGAAGTGAAAGTAAGTTGTAGTTTGTTTTTTTGTTGTTAAATACAATCTTATGGGAAATTTTTTTTGCTTATGGCGTAGGCCAGATATCAATTTGCCAAACAAAAGATAAGTTTACTGTGCAGCAATCTGCTCCGCTCTACTTTATAGGTGAGAGACATGGTCATTAAGAATAGAGGATATTCTTGGGCACTAGGATTCGATCATAGGTGTTTTCGAAGCATTGCATTTGTATTTTTGGATCACAGAGTTAAGCTATGTCTGGGTTAGCAATAAGGTATTAGGATGATAAATCGGTTGATGATGTATTAAGTCTTCATCAATTGAGGTGGTTGGGACATATGTCCACCTACCTTGAAGGACAATCTTCGGTGTAGAAGTAAGTTGGAAGAAAGCTATGGGTGGTCAAACCAAAACATGTTATCAGTCCATAAAGTCATTGACAAGTGGGCTGACCCCGACTACCTGGTCGGGGTCTACGTAATCATCTTAATCAATGGTTAGAGACTCTGAATGACATGGCTCAGAATAGTTTGCAATGGTTCAGGTTCATCTATTCTTTTTCTTCACCCAAATTCTTAGCTCTTAAATCCCTCATAACTTTTGTTTTCGCTTCACTAATATATATTTTAATCGTTTAAAGATCCCCGTCATGTTAAAAGACTAGTATTTTTGTTTGAGATATATTTTCTTGAATGGTATCTTTTCAATCACCACCAATACTCTTACTACCTCTACTATTCTAGGATTCAGCCTGAAACTTTCATCTTTCTGTACTGATGGGGTATGACAACTCGGATCAATGTACATACGTACCACGTTCTACGTATTGACTGACTTGCTGACTGGATATGAATTTAATGATCCAACTTTTGTGTAAATTTCATATCTTACCGATCGATTAATTGAGCTTATTCGATTTGACTTATTCTTGAGTAACTATACCTTGGTATATCAATGGTTACATCAAATAAATCACCTACTGTACAAAAGGAAATGAAGTATATTTTGATATTGCAACTCAGTAGGTCAGATGTAAGTATCTTGAACGGAGGGATATTTTGGAATTCAATAGTTCATATTCCCGAATTCGCTTAATTTGCAATGATCATGCGGTGTTATTAATGATACCTGTGTTTGAACTACAAGAGTTCCGGTACACTTTAATGTATGAAATTATAATCCATCATTTCATGTGCCAAGATTGTTATTTCTTAGCTGTTAACTGAGATAAATTATTTAGAAAAATCATTTCTAGTAACACTTTCTAGTCATTACCTTTTGCAGAGTTTATCACCCTTATTTATTTAAAATCTGATCATCTAGGACACAAAGAATATACTAGTCCATACTGTTGTATTAATTCATACTGAATTTTTGTGAATGTATTTTTTGTCAGCTACTGGAAATTTAAATTGTGGCTCATTTCCTTATTTTGGGGTCATAGAAATCATGATTTCATCAGTTGCACATGTTGTTTATTTCATATCCAACGTGTCTAATTATCTGTCAATAATAAATACCGATAAAATACTTATGTTCTACTTTATTCTTTGAAATAAGTTATGTTGTTAAGTTTGTGTTACCTGATCGGAGTTGGTGTGATTGTCGTAACAAATGGCTGGAGACGTTAGATAATATAACTCAGAATTGGTTGCATTAGCGCAGATGTATTTACTGGTTGTCATTTTTTAGGTTTTAAGAGGATTCATTTTTTTCTCCTTGAATCATATGATAAGAATAATATATTCTGAAAATAATAACTACAGAATTCATCCCTGTTTACAGGCATCGTCTATACCGAATGTTTACTATTACTTTGATACTTGTTTTGATATTTTCATCTCAATATTCTAAAGTGATATGACAACCGATATACATTAGTGCCAGGTCCTATGTTGCATATTACTGATTGATTTTATTGTTTAATATCATTTGACCTTAATTAATATTGATAACGTAAATGCAACAGTAATGACCATTTCAGCTAGTCAATCAGCTACAACGTAGGAGCAGACACATATATACATCGGTCCAAGTTGCCATACCTCATTAGCACAAAAAGATGAACACTGGACTCACAAAGTAGTTACTTCAATGGTAGTAATATATAAAAGAAAGATTGTGTATAAGGATATAGTACAAAAAGAAAAAATCAGTTGGTAGAAAGAAAGAATGATGACCATTTATGTATTCTGACTAATATAATAGCTTAAAATTATTAAATCAACACAACCCTCAACTGTAGAATTTCACATTTTTAAAGTGAATTTGGAAAGACTGTTTGTAAATTATGTTTAACAATCTAATTTCATTGAACAAAGTTTTTCCTTATGGTCGAGTAGAATGAATCATTGGTTTGTACTATTCATAAAATACAAAATAGGTGTTGTTTTCGCTTACACAGATATTGATCTTCGTTCAGGGTCATCCGATACATGAACTGTTTCCTTTCTGTTTTTAAGTTAGTCCACTCTTCTCTCCCATTTTATCGAACATGTACATTACATTACATTGCATTATTATTACATAGTTCATTTGTCTTAACATTCTTCTGTTTCATACTGTATTCATATGACTACGATTTGTCAACTGACACAATATGTTTACTGCAAAATTAATACATACATGCACATACAGTTAGTATTATTTCTAATTTATATGACCTTATATATATATATATATATATATATATATATATATATATATATATATATATATATATATATATATATATATATATCATTTAGTATATACTGACTCAACTACATTATGTCATTAAGATCACAAACCAAATTGTTAGATAAGCATTAAGAACCCGGATGCACTAAACATCTGTTGAATCCTATTGTGTGGCTCCCCAGCAGTGTGTGTTTACAACTCCACCAAAGATCGAACCCAAAAATTTCAGGTCTTGCGGGGAGTGTCTAAACTTCAAACCACTTATCCAGGGTTTAATGGTTTACATGTCTAACTTCAGTTAATTCTAACATTGCATGATCATCTATTGTCTTCAGTAGATAACTGCCGCATACTCCATACGGTGATCACAGCTTCTGACTAGGACTCCCGAAATTTTTATCTTGAAGGTAGTCATTAATGAGCGCGCAATATCGGGGACCGACTAAAGTTAGACATTAACGCCATCGGATGCCCGGTCAGTAGTCTAATAGTTTGGCTCTCCCCATGAGGCCTAAAGGTCCTTGGTTCGATCCTCGGTAAAGTTGTGGATGCTCATACTAAACAGCTATCTATCGCCCCTGAGTTTTTGATGGCTTTCTAACAGATTGGTTCTTAATTTCAATAGTATTCAACAATCTCCGTAAATACCCCTACTGATAACTTATATATATTCTTTGATAAAACTACATATTTTTCACAGAGGGTCTCCTAGTTGAATCGAACGTTTAGTGATAAAATTAAGTTTAGATCCTGGTTCAAGTATTGTTGGGTAGCATGAAACTTTAACTTTCTTAGACCTACTGTATATGGTGTTTGTAAACGTACATACAGTGTATATGAAAGAAGTTTAAAATATTTTTACTACTATAGTGTTTTTTCTGTCGAAGAAAAGACCTCATAAAGTACATAAGTCACGTTTTGAAAAAAAGGAACATTTAAAAATCTTATGCACTAACTAAAAGTTAAATGTTCGGCTTTTGTGTGGATATCCCTCAACACTAAAACTTTGTGATATCCTCCTTATGTGAAGTTCATTTATTGAAATGAATTAATCCAACTACATTCACTGTTTATCATATTCATTACACATCTGACGTAAAAAATATGTATATATTCCTATCAACGTTGATCTGAATTAATTGAATTTTGAACAAGATAGAAAACCTGTTATCGTCAATTAAAATAAATGCTGAATAGCCGATCTATACTTAATATATGCATTGTGGTGTGTGCTACTTATGTAGACATAAGTAGTATATGACGTTAGTCGTGAACAGAATGTCTGACACCAGAGAGACAAGAAGATAGAACAATAAAGAATGAAGAAAGAATGCAATTTGTAAGAACAACGGAAATCTGAGTCATTTTAAGACAATTGACGGACATTTTGCACATTGAGCATTTGCTATCTGGTTGTTAGATTTTACTAACTAGTTCTGCAATTTGTTGTCAAATACATTCGATTGTCCCCCACTGGTGTTGTTGTTAACTACATTCGATATCGCTGCCAATCAGGTGAGGAGAAGAATGCTGTCCTTTGGACGCTGTTGTGGGCCTGGAGCTGAGGTGCGGCGTCTGATAGAGCGTTCTGGCGGGGCGGCGTTGGCTGTAGCGGGTGCCGTCGACGGGGAGGAGCGTTAGAACTTGCGGATGTGGATGGCTCAGCTGGCCGGTGGAGCACGGGTGTTGAACGTCCCAGGTGCCGTGTGAATGTCGGTTTCCCGGCAGGTCAACGGAGCTACGGAGGTCAGCGCGCCTCAGACTCGACATTTCGACGGAGGGCGTAGCACAGACTGCAGAAAAGAGTGTTGCACGGCGAGCATGAACCACCGCAAGAACGACTGCTTTAAAGGGGGGGTGAGTGTGGTGTGTGCTACTTATGTAGGCATAAGTAGCATATGATGTTAGTCGTGAACAGAATGTCTGGCACCAGAGAGACAAGAAGATCGAACAGTAAAGAATGAAGACAGCATGCAATTTGTGTGGAAATGCAAGAACAAAGGAAGTCTGAGTCATTTTGAGACAATTGACGGACATTTTGCACATTGAGCATTTGCTATATGGTTGTTAGATTTTACTAACTAGTTCTGCAATTTGTTGTCAAATACATTCGATTGTCCCCACGTGTTCTTGTTCACTACAGTGTGATTCGGTTACCTGTACGCTTGCTGACTGTTCAGTTGCAATGGTATAGCTCACTACTTTCAACCACTGATTTCTAATTTGATCGACAAAACCCCCTAATTCAGGCAGTGTTGTTCTACCTTCGTTAAATTAGCTGCATAGCTCATCATTTATTACACTAGCCTCTACGTGATTACCGCGTAGTCGCATTACCAAATGTCCATCTTATTTATGTGTAATCCGAACTTACTCGAAAGTTTGTGCATAACATATAATTTGGGAGGTTATTAAACTTGGGTCAATAATAATGAGCATCATATTTGGTAAGTTTCTGGACTGTATATTACATGTCCTATTGTTATTATTATTGTAAATTACTTCTATTTATTTGATTCCTTTATTTCTTTGAACATGTACTTGCCTGTCTTATTACGTCCAAATAATTATTTTTCTTTAAGATGGTCGAATACACATTTGGCATGTCGGTAGTGGTAGTCATCCTATACATTCATCGCCTGGTACGGGAAACAGAGATCCAATTACGTGTGTTCATTGGAATCCAGTATTGCCTACAATGATCGCTTCAGTGAATGATGCTGGTGAACTATGCATTTGGGGACCACAACGTAAGTGATCCGTTTTTCATTTTGCCTTTTGCCATCTATATGGTAATAATTCAGAATTACGGCAGAAGTATATTGCACGGTCAAACCAATCAAATTCATGATGACTGCTATCAGATTCCAATGCTAAATTCGACATCCAGCGATGAACAACTTGTAAATTATTTAGGACTATGTAAAAGCTCAGCAAAATTTACCGATATTTCTTTACTGAAAAGACTAATCATCATCACAAAACTGGTAACTAATAACAAATCTTATAGTGTCAATGAGAAATTTATTTTTCCACGAAAACCGTAGAAAACAAATAGACCTAAAATGCACAACACATTGATGGCAGGATTTTTGAATTTTTCGAAACAGACCGGAAGGTTCTTGAAGTTGTGCTATACTTTTTATGGGCGAACCAATCAGATTTAGGGTAGTACCTCGTGGATATGGGCGCGAAACTCATTTATTCGGCTGCGAACGATTCTTGCATTATAGTTGATGTCACTGTGATGAGAACCCTAACTTCGGCAGCTGTTATAAGTTAACTAGAACCAACTTCTTTCATGTATTGCTTATTATTTTCTACGGGCTTAGACATCAGGGTCACTTATTTCTCAGCTGCTTAATAATTACGATACGTTTTCCTGGTTTAGGTTTGTTTTAACCCACTAATTAATGTTAAACATTTGTATCTAGTCAGTTTTATTTTCTATAATTTAGTACATTATTCTCATATGTTGTTTGCGAAAGTATAAAGCGATCAAATTGGAGCTTATTTGTTGTATGGTCTGCGGTGAAAATAAATTTCACAGAAGTAAAACAAATTGTAAACCTTAGCACATGGAAATGTATGACTGTTAAGCAGCCTTGATGTGTATATGTATATATTCCGATTAATCATTTACTTCTTTTCTTCGTGAATTTACTCACGACAAGTTTTATGTTTTTTGTACATTTTTTGCAGGTTATGCATTAGGTAACGGTCAACCGATGGATTCGTCAACTTAAGTCTTCCACATTTACATACCTATCAAACACAAATCCATACTTGATTTTTTGGTCTTATAACATTCGCTCTTCCTCTTTTTCAGTTAATTTTTACTGTCCACGACTGTTTTGTTATTGGAAAACAAGCTCCTCTGGAATCAAGCGTCACTCAATTACTATTCCTCTACATAAGTAAACAGCTCCCATAATCTATTGTTTTACATATATTACTACTATTATTGGCTGTATCACTAATAATAATAGTGTGTACATTGCCTATTTTGATCTGTTTGTGAACTTTACGGACGTGTGTATTGTAATAATCAAACGTCAATATTCTACGTGAACTTGAAAACTGGATGGTATTCTGAAACGACCAATTTTTCCTACTATAATATCTCAAACTTTGTGTCCGTGTTTATCTGATTGAATTCCACTCTACAAGTGTGCTCAAACCCAGTTTTTTAGACGTAGTAATTTCGGCTGTTTTATTTCTTTTGTTGTTGTTGTTATCGGTTATCACTAATTTATACTTTTTTGAGTTAAACCACTAATTTGTTTCCTTTAGAGACACTTTCGCACTATTCAGCCTCTTCCCAATATATGTACCTATATTTTTCTTGTTCTACTTCTTAATAAGCAAAGTTTTGTTTAGAAAGAGAAAAGTTAAAATCGCACCGGATTTCTCTAAAACTTTTGTGCACACGATGTTATCCTGTTTGCATGGATCAGAAAGATGTGTTTCCATTAGTTCTAGTTTCATTATTTTCCCTTGTAATAGTACTTGTTCAATACTTAAGCCAATCCTTTCTTTGAATTAGACTATTGTAATGATGACACATATATTTTTTAATAGGCAAGTAATCTTTCTTTTAGGTTTGTTCTCAATATGTAATTACAGCCTTGGTGTCTAGGTTTGCAGGTGTAGTGAAACACTTGGATTCTTTGCTAGTCCTATAATGAATTCAACAATTCCTTTTCTGTTAGTATATATGTTGTTTATTTTAGTTCAATCCCTTAACAGACATTATTTCCTTTCTTTAAGCTAAAATTACAACATTTTTTAAAAAAAAAATCAGAAGTTATTAGAACTAGGCTAAAAGTCATGCTTCAGTAAACTTTGTTAACTGGTAGGACTTATATTTCAAAAGAGGAAAAGTTGTTTACCATTCGAATATATGATTGTGTTGGATAAGAATATAACCTTTTTGTAATCTTTATTTCTAAGGAAATATTTGGTGTGATTATTTTGCCACATAATATATTCTATAGTGAATCAATATTTATTAGTATCGCTAAAACTACTATTATCATTCTAACTTTTATTTATATTACACTAGTTTATATAAGTGCATACTTTTTTCGTCTTGTGTTTTGAAATATATTTATTTATTTAATTATCAGTTTCATTTGTTTGTTTATTTTTCGTGGTTCTAAATACTTTGTTTTGAGTATTCTTTTATTCAAAATAACTTGGATTATACTATAATCACTACCGTTTTTTTTAAATATTATATATATATATATATATATATATATATATATATATATATATATAAGCAAATACAAAATACTGTTTATTTCAATTTGTTGACTTTAAGTGTAATACTTTAAAAATTGTAAGTTTCTACTCCAATAGCACCAAATATTATTATCAAGTTTAGTTTGGATACTCACTTATCTAAGGGTTGTTGTTGTTCCGTAATTTCATTAAAACACATCATCAGATTAGATGAATCGATAATGATGATGGATTCAAATCTATGTTTGTCATCAAGTTCCATAGTATAAGTGATGCTTACCAATAGTGAAGTGAATTTAATTCAATTCCCGGTTTCCGTATAATAATTATTATTATCGCTGAAAATCATTATCTTCAAATTTGAATAAACAACAAAATGTCTCGAATATGATAGCATAATTCGTATTGAAAATTGCATATTCATCTACCTATATAGTCGTTAGTTCACTTTGCCAGTTAATAAAACAGTACATATAAGAAGTCTGAGGTACATATTATATAATTAGTATGAATAACCGTCTAATAAAACTTCATTAATCACTTGAAGATGTGTAAATAAAAGTATTGCAACATAATGAAACCGGTTATTCGACAAATCAAATAAAAAAATCAATTACAATTAAAGTATTTTTCGAGAAATTAAGTGTTATGAATGAAAAAGAAATACGTAGAATATTTATGTGGTGAGTTTATGTTGAAAATAATTCAAGATGATGTTTCATAGTTTTGACTTCTGTATTCAATAACAAGACGCTTAGCTTCGTCGCATACTTTTTTACCTTTTGCTTCTAATATATCTAAACATCTTGACAATGCATCCAGTTGAGCATTCAGTTCTTCATACTCTATTCAAATGATAAATCCATAAATAATAATTTTAAAAAATACAGTTAACATACTTCAATCGAATATACACGGAATGTTCTATGATGGATTATTGGTATACAACCTAATGGCTTTTTAAGAATTTATGATATTTTAGAAGCGTTTGCTTTTTACCATAGGTGGGATTAGTCATATCTCTTGTGTTGAATAACATTAAGACGCAATGTCTTAAACGAATTTTTCTTGAAGATCTCATGTATGTTCTAACCACTAACATAGAGGTTATTGACTCAATGATCGATTAAAATTACAAGAGTTTTTCAAACGAAGACACTACACCAGAATTCTAGGCATCTGCAGGTCTGTGGCAAAAACTATTAAGTGAAATAGCCTAAGGTTAGTATTAAAAGTTCAAGTACACCCAAAATCTTGTGGATTTCATTACTGTAGACATACATGACATTGGTCACTACCTGGTAGTCAATCAATGTTAAATACGTCTCAGTCCTACGAGAGGCTAGTCGCGGCTGACATAGCTCAATGGTAATATCTCTGACTGAAGTTAAGTAAAATGGGATCGAATCCGCCAGAGAGCATTAGTTCCCTCAAGATTACACGGACACCTTGTTACCGAATAACAAATGGCATGAAACCTATGTCCAAGGTTTCCTATTGGCTATCTTCGACCACCACCTTAAATCTCAACATTGTACGAAATGTCGAGTAACTTAGACTAGTGCCCACATTGCAACTTGACCGACAGAATTTTAGCACTAGGAAGGACTGATTTATTTTAACACATAGGTATTGGTACAAGGAGGCACCAAATACATATGCGCCACACGAATCTTAATTGATTTGTGTGAGGGCTGTGATACTGCCCGGGTGCCCAAACCGAAGCAGGTGGTTGTCTTAGGGGGCCACACCCCGAGCCTTTAACCTGAACGTCTGATCCACAAGGCAGTGGAGCATCGTGAGGAGATGCAGTCCCATGGTAGCCGGTGACCAACGATTGGTTCATACGCCATTTGTTCCTTCAGGATACTGGAGCCCATGTGCACCATTGGTTTTGGATCCGGTTAAAGCGCCGGACATTCGCTTTTCGTCCTCTCATTTTCGTAAGCAACATCCCCGCCACGTGAAGGCAGTGAGTAGGACTTCCCTGGCAGGGGCTATATACGCGTGGCCATGTGAGAGCATTTCGAGAGGGAGAGCGAACTCTTCCTACTCTCGGCCGTACCAGGGCATTTGGGGGCAAGAAGGACTGACATACATGGCGACTAGTCAGTCGTAAAAGCTCATATTTACACGTTTTTCATCCATTCTATCATTTTATACTTTTAGTATGACGGTTTGGGATTTTACGTAAACTTAGTTATTTTTAAGTTGAGAACATGAATGTCCACCATCTTATTACTTAGTTGGAGGCAAATAAATAAACTTAAAGTCCCACCGAGGAAACCATAAATTACGGCTTAGATCAGAATCAAAACATGACGACATATCGAAATAGAGAGGAAAAAAGTATTTGAAATACAGTAAATGGAATACCTTCTTCGAAATCAAACTGTGGTTGTTGGTTATCGTCGTATGGAGATGGGACAGTCATTTTCAATATAGAACGCTGTTGTGTTAGTATCTATACACCAATCTTGTTAAATGAACACCAATAGCCATTTCTACCACATTCTACACAGGGTATCAGAAGGCTTCTTTCAGTTAATTGCTGTAGTGATAAAAGATAAAACTTCTCGGTTAATGTACAATGAAAATAGTAATACTTATCAACTCATTCACAAAATAACCAGTCACAACATATTGTGATCAACAGTTTTAAATAGTTACTATTAATATTCGACTACTTTATAGAAAGACATAAGGTAAACCAGATGTATTGACTTAGAACCCCATACATTAACCCGTTATCACACGCTGAAACATCATAAAGGAGAATCAAGAAGGCAAAAAGCGTTAATAACAACAAGGTTCGGAAAAGTAAAACTCCATCTGAATAAAGTTGGATAATGGGCTAGCAGTAAAATACAGGATGCGCATCCCATCCTATTTTTGACTCGCCAGCTGGATGTATCTGCATCTTAGAGTTGATGTTCACTCTGGAACTCGAACCCAGTGCCATTCTTTTCAAACGCCGCCGCATTGCCCACTTAGCTATTGAGTCCTGAGAGCCACTTGCCTGTGTGAACGCCACTAGATTCGGGTACCGTACAAAAGAATGACACTTATAATGAGAACACATAACGACCGATGCTCTAGCATCCATCTACTATTCATAATCTTGTACAATATGACGTATTTTCCTTTCAATAAGTTTCTCCAGTCATGTACCGTTTTCAACGTTGTCGACTGCAGTTTCCGTATGGTTTGTTATGAAAATAAAGGCGAGCACATGAGACACTAAAGATTAAGCAACATGTGTGTTGAAGATTTAATCGTAAATACAAAATTCGACTCGAATTTAGGGGATAAGTAAACAGTTCCCAAGCTCCTAATTCTGGGGAAAATTTGACCCATTTTTGGGTAGCCGCTATAGTAAACTTAGGGGAAATGGCACAGAAACCCCAAAATTGCTGTTTAACCTCGGTCAAGGTCATTGGACTTTGAGAGATTCCACAAAATACCCCAAAGTTGATGGCTCGGGTTCAGCGACATTTGTAACAAGTCAACAAAAGGAGGGAGAATCTGCATCATTTCCCTCTGACAGGCGAAAAAGCAGACGTTCTTGTGTGTTTTCTCATTATTTTACAATTAATTTATTTCCCCCTTGTTCACCTTTATTTCCTATTTATTTGTTGCTTGGGTTGGATGTGTTTTGTGAAAAAACCCAAGTTACTTAGTTATAAATCCAAATTCTTATCCCGTAAGTTACAGTTTTGTTTGGCTTTTGTATCTGCAAAATCAACACCACAACCTACTTCGATTATTCCGCCAGTTATTAATGTCGTAACTCAGCCGTTGAAATGCGCGCTTCTTCTAATCTTCAGTAGTGAGGGAAGGAGGTCTATCAATCTATGTTCATTCTTACAATTAGTAACGTCATAGAGGTCCAATCTCATTTTGAATGTAGTAACAGAAAATCTGATATTACGCGTTCTGGCAGAGAAATGTTGTAATTCACTGCTCGATGCAAGAAATGGAACTCCAGCCGTAAACAATGTGATCTGTGTTTTCAAACTTTCTTAGAATTTCAGCTCAAACAGTAAATTTTAGATGAGAATAAGAAATAAAACATATCAGTAACGAGGTCATTGTTCAGTATACGATAGGCCAATATTAGAACACCCCATAATCTACGGTAATGTAAGGTAGATAAATTAAGGTGTTCCAGTCTTTCTTTATAAGATAGGTCAGAAAAACTCTTTACCATTTTGATCCATTGTCGTTGGACTCTTTCTAGCATGTCTTCTTTTCAAATGAAGCAAGACTTTGCTGCTTGAATCCCATTTTCCAAATTTGGGCTCACAAAAGTCGTGTATAATGCTCTCGATATCTCTTCATCCAAGTACTGAAAAGACCTACGAATAGCCCATAATACCCTGAGGATTTTGGCAGCAGCAGCCTAGCAGGTGCTCGCAGTTTTAAAGCTTCTGCTCATTATGATTTCTAAATCCTTACAGTCCATTATTTTGGATGACACATATCCAAATATTTTGTAGTTATATGAATCATCATAGTTAGTTGCATAATTACACTTGTGGAGATAGGTCTGTCAAACTTATTTTGTAAATAATTTTTAATATTATTTGTATTCATTTTGTCAATCTTTCACTGTATGTACATTTATTATTAAATCATTGTACCTGTTGTTTTAGTAAATGACCTTGATCACTCTTTCCATTGTGATACTGACATAGCGTAACACTATTGTGGTTGTTTCCTAAATACACTACTACACACATACCTCTCGTTCTACATCCACTCGCATTTGTGTTAACCTCAGTCTGAATCAAATAAAATTTACCTTTACAGACGACAATTGGAATATACCATATATACTACTGGATCATACCATTGGGGAATCCATCACACTTACTGGAATTATTAACCATCTATAATTGTGGATATTTAATACCAGATCAATTTGGAACACGCACTCTCCTGGTGAACTAAGTAACGTTCCTTATTTCTATTGTGTTTATGACATTTAACTTATATATATAAACATTATTATTTGTTATCAATGACTCTGTCACTACCTTTTGGGTTAATATATTGTCTGGTCCACGACAATTATTTGGTGATCCTGTTGTTTATCCTCAGTGTTTTATTGTTTACCATTTCACACGTTATACTGGTTTATTTTTCTCATAATATCATCTCCCACTAAACTTATCGATATTGATTCCCCTCCAGTAACAAGTATTGTCTCATTACCTAACTCTACTGAAAACATTTTACATTCAGTTAATACTGTCTCAGAATTCAGACTCCAAACTTATGGAGCTAATAACCCAAGAATCTGGTTCTCCCAGATTGAAGCTTTATTCATGGCTCGAGGCATAAGATCCCAGGCAACAAAGTATGCGTATGTAGTCGGCGCACTTCCTATTGAGATTGCCACTGAGTAGGAGATTTAATCGACCACGTACCAGAATCAGAACCATATGATAAGATAAAGGCCGCTGTAATACAACGCACATCAGTATCGGATGAGAAAAGGCTTCAGCAACTCCTAACAGCATGCGAATTGGGTGACAGGAAGCCATCACAATTATTACGGCATATGAAAAAACTAGCGGGCCCGTATAAACTAGACGAAGCCTTGCTGAAACAAATGTGGTTTCAACGACTGCCACATAATGTTAGACAAATCCTTAGTGTGTCCGGAAACTTCGTCACCCTAGACGATCTGGCAGATATAGCAGATAAAATAACGGAAGTTTATCACGACAGCCACCAAATTAATGAAGTGCAACCACTGAGAACAGTAGACACCAGTTGTTTAGTCTCTTTTGAAAGACAATTAGCACACTTGACAAGTCAACTAAAATCACTGCAAGCTTCTATCGCAACGATTAAATCGCACCACACCAGACCAATACCCAGACAAAGATCCAGGTCTAGGCATCGCTCACGATCACCCAAGCAGACGGCTGGTATTTGTTGGTATCATACGAGGTATGGTAGAAAGGCACGTTGTTGCACACAACCATGCAACTTCTCAACAAACAGCCTCGAAAATCTGGGAAACGGGCCGGCCAGACAGTGATGGCGGCGACTGTTTCTGGCCGAACAACAAGCCGTCTATTTCATGTCAGGGATCGAATTTCGGGCTCAGATTTTTTGGTCGATACAGGAGCTGAAATCAGCATTATGCCATTACACTTCTCTAAACGATGGCACTCTCGAAGCACCAAATTATCCCTAGTCGCTGCCAATAACACAATCATGAAAACTTACGGAGAACAATCACTTATCCTAGATCTCCGTCTCCGCAGACGTTTTACGTGGGTTTTCATAGTAGCTGAAGTTAAGCAACCCATTCTCGGAGCTGATTTCCTAGGAGCTTACAACTTACTCGTAGATATGGGGAAAAGGAAACTAATCGACAAGAATACAAGCTTACAGGTCTGCGGCACAACCATCTCCAATTACGAGATTTACGGAGTCCGAATGTTAAGACCTGAGAATAAGATTTTCGCTGATATCCTGTCGAGATACGAAAGTATAACCAGAACCGACTACCTAAGCGAAAGTCCCACTCATCATGTCAAACACACTATCACCACTACGGGACCACCCACTCGCGCCAGGGAAAGACGACTACCCCCACACAAGTTGCAGTTCGCGAAGAAAGAATTCGAACATATGATGCAACTTGGCATAATCAGACAATCGAATAGTCCCTGGGCCTCGCCTCTGCAAATGGTTCCAAAGAAGGACCAAGATTGGCGACCATGCGGAGACTACCGACGATTAAATAATCAAACTATCCCAGATAGGCACCCCATACCACATCTACACGACTTCTCTTTAAACCTACATGGAAAACATTTTTTTCGAAACTCGAACTAGCAAAAGTTTATCACCAAATTCCAATGGCGCCCGAAGACATTGAAAAAACATCAATAATTACTCCTTTTGGCCTGTTTGAATTTTTGAGGATGCCATTCGGGCTAAAAAACGCCGCCCAAACGTCCCAGATTCATGGACGAAGTCACTCGAGAATTAGATTTTGTATTTGTCTATATTGATGACGTTTTGATCGCCAGCTCATAGCTCGAAGAGCACATTCAACACTTGCAAACTCTCTTCGAACGCTTTTAAAAAGCATGGTTTAGTTATCAATCCTTTGAAGTGTATATTCGGAGCCTCAACCATAGAATTTCTGGTACATCATATTGATTCTCAAGGAATTAAACCTCTTGAAGAGAAAGTCGAAGCTATAGTCAAGTTCCCTGAGCCTAAGTCGGTAAAGTCACTACGCCGTTTCCTCGGAACGTGCAATTTCTATCGCAGATTCGTACCATGTTGCGCAGACGTGTGACAGCCGCTAACGGATTTGCTGAGAAGTGGAAACAAAAGTACGAAGAAGCAAATGAATCAAACATTCAAGCTACCTCCTGACGCCAAAATAGCATTTGAAAAAGCCAAGTCCATGATATCCAACGCCACCATGCTACAACATCTAAATACTGACCCCACAACACATCTGATTCTGTGCACAGATGCGTCACAAAAAGCCGTCGGGGCAGTATTGCAACAACACGTAAACGACACGACTACTCGCGTAGCGTTCTTCTCCAAGAGACTGTCACCAGCTCAGGAGCATTACAGTGCTTTCGGAAGGGAGTTACTAGCCATTTATTTAGCCGTTAAACACTTCAACTTCTTACTTCAAGAGCGAACATTCACTATAATGACTGACCACAAACCCTTGTGCTACTCATTCAACACTTCATACGACCGACATTCACCTCTCGAAGCACGACAATTAGATTACATCTCTCAATTTACAACAGAAATCCAATATTTCAAAGGACACACTAACGTTGTAGCTGACGCTTTATCACGAAAGGATATAAATATGCTGATACGTAAGCAAGATATTGATTTGGAAACAATCGCCAAATTGCAAGTAGACGACGCAAAAATAAAGAGCTGCAAAGAAAAGTCCGACTTGCTTCTTAAGCCTGTACCCATTTTTTTCTCAAATGCATCTATCATCTGTGACGTTTCAACAGGTAGTAACCGTCCCTTCGTACCTCAAGCTTGCCGACGGCAAGTATTTCGTCAACTTCATGACCTTTCACACCCAGGAATCCGAGCCACAACTAAATTGATTACTGAACGTTTCGTGTGGCCAAAGATTAACTCAGATATAAAGCGATGGACTCGAAGCTGCCTACAATGTCAACGCAGCAAAATTCAGAAACACACAACCAGTCCTGTTGGGAAGTTCCCTTTGCCGGAGAAACGTTTCCAACACATCCATCTAGATATAGTCGGTCCCTTGCCGCCACCAACATCATTCACGCATATACTCACATCGGTGAACAGATTCACAAGATGGGCCATAGCGTGTCCCATTGCCGACACTTCTGCAGAGACAGTAGCCGCTGGATTCCTTGACCGATGGATATCAAACTATGGAGTACCATCTATCGTCACTACAGATCGTGGTCCCCAGTTCTAGTCTATCTTATTTCAGGAATTCACAAGACTTCTGGGTGTGAACCACATTAAAACGACAGCTTATCATCCAGTGGCTAATGTTCTGGTCGAAAGATTTCACCGCCAATTGAAAAGCGCACTGATGGCACAAACTGATACAACAAAATGGAGTGGCGCACTACCACTTGTACTCCTGGAAATTCGTTCAACCATCAAGGACGATTTAGGATGCACTTCAGATGAACTAGTTTAAGGTACTACATTAACATTACCGGGTCAGTTGGTCGATCAAGAATCAACAATGTCAAATGTTCCAAATGGTTTCGCAAGCCGACTATTACAAACGATGCAA